CAAATCAACGAACGCGCTAACAATAGTAAAATCTGCCTGAAAAGAGAAACTCTGCCTTCCTAAAACACTGTTACAAAAGGAAAATCTCTGTGGGTTGTCAGGGACATTCTTTTGAATCACATCAGACTTTACTTGTTTCTCATTATCAGACAGGATGAGAAAGGGACTTGCAGTGTCAGGATCAAGAGTCACATCCACTGCAAACTGCTGGACCCTCTTCAACTCAACTTCAGCACACAGCTTCTTCATCTGTTTACTGAGCGTCTCCTCCAGCTGATTCACAGCTCTCCTCACAGTCCCCTCATATAATGAGTGAACTCTGACCTCTGTCCAGTCTTTGGTGGGTAGGGCTATGTTCAGGGATGGGAAGCCTTGGAGGAGCTGGAGGTGGTCTTCGGTGCGCGAGAGCTGCTCCACTTCAGCACTTCTCTTTATCAACTCAGATATTTCCTCTTCTAGCTCTATGATGAAGCCTTCAGCCTGTTTCTCTGTGGTTTTCTGCTTCTTTTGGATAATCTCTTGGAACTGAGCCAGACTTCTCTCAACAGACTCCTTCAGAGCGGTGAAGACCTGAACACCATCTGCTATCTCTCTGTCTGCACCTTCCTTACTGAGCTCCACTGAGCGTTTGATCTGCTGAATCTTCAGTCGTCTCTTCTGGATCATCTGCTGAATTTTAGCTTCATCTCTCCCCAGCGTAGCTTTTCTTTGTTCATATTCTTTTTTCAGAGGGGAAAAATTATGTCTCTTGTGTTCTGTAATAATGCACAACTGACAGACATACATCTGGTCGGTCTTGCAGAACACCTCCAGAGGTCTATCATGCTTCTTACACACTCTGTCTTCCAGGTTCTTCACAGGACTGATCAGCTCATGTTTTTTCAGGCCTGACATTGTCAGATGAGGCTCCAGGTGAGTCTCACAGTAGGAGACCAGACACACCAGGCAGGACTTCAGGGCCTTCAGTTTGGTTCCAGTGCAAACGTCACAGGTAACATCTCCTCCTTTGGCTCGCTTTTGCTCTACACTGCTGGCTTTCTTTTTAGCTGATTTCCTGAACTGATCAGCCATCTCAGATAAAACAGTATTGACCCGGAGTTCAGGCCTTCTGATGAGAAGCTCTTTACATATAGGACACTGGTATTTTCCACTAACTTCCCAGGCTTGTGTGATGCAGTTCTTGCAGAAGTTGTGTCCACATGGGATGGTGACTGGATGAGAGAACACATCCAGA